GTTGGAGGCTGCGATTCAACCACCCTCACTCGGATGTCTCAGTTTTAGGTGCTTAAGTGTGAGGAGGACTCTCCCTGGGTGGTTCCCCTCATCCTGACATTGGGTCTAAGGCAGATCTGGTGATTCTCAGCCAGGGAGGATTACTGTCCCCTCGGCCCATGGGGCAAACCCCTGGGTGGAGAGCCCAGCTTGCCACGCTGCCCTTCACCTCTCTCAGAGCGTGGGAGCTCAGTCTCATCCACCATGCCAAATGTGTCAGCATTAGCTGAGCTAAACACCACAAACAAACCGCAGTTAAAACCCAAGCACCAGTGCCTACCTGGCCCAACCTTCTCAAAGAACAAGTCTAAGAGTTATGACTTTGGCTACTGCATATAACAGCTTTATATTTATTGTAAGAATGTGTGTATGCATATATGTGCACACGTGTATGTGTGCAAGATGAAGAGCACGTTTTCCCTGGTGCACTGTTTCACTAGAGCAGTTGAATAAGCCCTTGCCATCAGGACCTTTGTTTGATGGTGGTGGAGCAGGGGTGCTGGTCTGGGTCCACTCAGACCAGCTGGAGAACTGGTTGCCACAGCATTGGCTTCCCAGTGGAAAGAGCTGAGATTAATATTGACTATCAAAAGGAAGGAACCGTTCCAGTTTAGTTTCAGTTCAGACCTGGAAGCATCACATCAAACTTGGGAAGAGAAACCCAGAACTCCTGGAAAAAAACAGGTTTACATTTCAGATTTCAGATGAAATGACCTGGACCTAAGCATGGTGCTCCGTAGGTACCTGTGCATTTCCATCGCTGGCCCAACAAAATGCAATGGGGGGAAGGTTTGTTTCTTGAGCTGCAAAGAAAAGCTTACCCTTTGTGTATGTTGGCTGACACACCTCTGCTGAAAGACACCTAAATTATGTCAAAACAAGTAGGTAGCAACCAACCCAACCCAGGTTTCCACTGGGACAGGGTGCTAAGCCAAGGTATGAGTTGCCTTGTATCGAGCTCTAAGGTCTTTGAAACAGAGCCAGACCTTCACAGGATCTTCTCTCAAGGGAACACCAGCAAGACATGCTGCTTTGGTAGCAGTCACCCAAACCAGTGTTAACTTCTCAGCTTGTGTTCAGCACCACATACACGGTGTGTTTATCACTGTTTCATCCATCCCTTCCAACCCAGGGTGGGCTGCAAGGTCACTGTGGGTCCTCCTGTGACTTTGTGGGTGCCACTCAGTTGTCACCTGTGTCTCCTCACTTTAAGTGATTGCTACTTGTGGAGCACCATCCCACCTTCAAGAGACCCCATGGCTGTGTCTCCTTCCTGAGACAGCTTTTGGTGGCAAATGGAGATGGGGTGGATTACTGGGAATGAGTGGCAGAGGGACATGGGGCAACAAGGAGGAGTAACTTTGCCCCTGTGGTATCATGTGCTGTATGATGGATGGTGTTGGTGCATCATGATTTTGTGAGTTAAACCCTGTGCTGCCCAGCTCTGGGGCTCCTGCCCAGAATCACAGAATGGTCAGGGTTGGAAGGAACCTCTGGAGATCATCCAGTCCAACCCCCTGCCAGAGCAGGGGCACCTACAGCAGGTTGCACAGGAAGGCGTCCAGGCGGGTTTTGAATGTCTCCAGAGTGGGAGACTCAACAAGCTCTCTGGGCAGCCTGTGCCAGTGCTCTGCCACCCTCAAAGGAAAGAAGTTCCTCCTCATGTTAAGATGGAACTTCCTATGCTCAAGTTTGTGCTCGGTACCTCTTGTCCTATCACTGAGCACCACTGAAAAAAGACTGTTCGCATCCCCCTGGCACCCTCCCTTTAAGGATTTATAAGCATCGATAAGGTCCCCCCTCAATCTTCTTTTCTCTAGACTAAAAAGACCCAAGTCCCTCAGCCTTTCAGTCCCTGTGCCCACCTCAGCACAGCTCTCCACTGACGTGGCACAGCGAAGAGCAAAGCCCCAGCCCACAGGGCCGCGCGTCTGGCTCTCACTTGGCATAAAAATTGAAAGCCATCCCACACAGGACCACAGCATGCGAATGCGAGAAGAGCATGCAATCCCCTCTTGGCAGAAATGAAGGCCGGCTCTGAGAGAGGAGCACGTCAGCTGCACATGGACAAAACATCCCTGCAAATACTGCAAACAGCTTTAGAAAGAGCCATTCATTAGGGACCGCCTTTTGCACCCAGAGCTGCCAATGGGAGTTTTGTCTGAGCACAGGGAAAGGATTCTGGCATCTAAAAGACTGGGATGGGTGGGATTTGCTCAGACCCTGACAGTTATTTCATAGGAAGCACCAAAGTACAATAATTTAGGCTCAAGCACCCTCCCAAAGGGAAGGCGGGGATCTAGATAGTCTCTATCACCCAAAAAAAGAATATGATTTCCAGCACCACCTATTTCTTACCCTGTTCAACTGTTTTTGTAAAGGCAGTTTTAAATAAAGGGCCATCCAGAAACCTATTCTTTCATCCCAGGGCATGGCAACAGGACATTTTTAGGTGGGAGAGGTCGGCTGCTCTGAATAGCTCATTCCACAGGAACTGCCCAGGATGGAGCTCAACCATGCAATTTAGCATCCCCTACGTCTCGTGTCTTTGACGTGGATATAAGGTAATAACAAGTTTCACTGTTACTCTAACCAGCACTGCTCAGATAAGCATGAATAGGCTCAGATAAGGACAGGCAACAAATGGTAAGGTTTCTTTTTCAAGCAGAAGTCCTTGGAAATCAGGGCAACTGAAGCAAATGCACATCATCTGACGTTGGAAATTAACATTACATCTGAGAGGACTTTGTGGACTGAGGCATACCGAAGACTTAGTGACAATATTCACCCCTTCCTGCATTCCATTTCCACCCAGAATGGGTGGAAATGTCTGATCATCCAGGATAAATCATAATTAGGCCCATTTCCAGGGTTGTATTATGTGGAAAGGTAGAGCATGAGAAGAGAGGTTTTAATGAGTCGCAGGAGCATGTATCTCCTTGTGACTGTCTGATCCATTTCTTTGAGGGGCCAACAGAAGCTGAAGAATGTATGTGAGTAAACAAAGAGCTGGAGCAGAGATATTTTGGGTGTGGTGTGTCCACATTGGAGTCCTTCCTTGAGCAGTTGGATATTTCATACACAGAAAGCCCAACCTGTGGATTTGTGTTAGTCCCAGAGCAAATTTCAGAAGGCTGCAAAAGAGCCCATTCCCTGTGACGAAGGCTGAACCTGGAGGAGAGATGGTGGTGGCACCTGTGTTCCCCAGGGGTGGCAAATGGAGCTGGGTCCGGTAGCCCAAAGGCTTTCACTGTGCCGCGAGCTCCCCTTCGCTGCACAGGGCATTTCAAGGGCTCTGCTTCCAAGTGGGCTGCCATGTATTTAGCTCTATTGAAATTGATGGAAGGCTTTTGGTCCAGCAGGACCTGCCCAGCACAGAGCAAAGCTCCAGCATCTTCCAAGCATGGGGCAGGTGTCTGAGCCGGTCTCCTCCTTGGCTGAGGATGAACGACCACAGCGTGGGTGGTGCTGGAGGAGCAGGCTGCAGGACAGACCCAGCCTGAAGTGACAGAGTCCATGGTGTGTCTCCTCCATGTCACATGTCCCACACCTCCCCGGGGGGTCCAGAGCAGGAAAGGTAACAACCTCCATACTTAAAGTCCAGAAAAACTTGCACAGCTCCACGGAAAAGATCAGGAGACACCACGAGGATCTTCAGCATCCTTGGCCATGCAAGAGCAGGGATTTATTGTCTCAGCCTAACCACAGCCCCAAGACACCGGGGAAGGCAGGAGACCAGGGTGACACCGCTTGTGGCCATGGCATGAAACCTTTGCTCCCAGCTGGGAGACCTTGGCAACTGTTGCCAAAAAGTCCTGCGTAGGACATAACGTCATGAGACCTACGTGTCCGCCAGTGGGAAGGGAGCTGGAGGAGGAAAAGAGAAGCCTGTTCGCTCAGGGAGGAAGAGGAGAGGAGGCTCACCTGGCTCTGCCAGGAGGAAGGCAAGGGAAGATGGTCAGGGTTTTCCTGATCTGCACTACGCTGGCTGGAGGCCAACCATACCTTCCCTTCCAGCCAGCATCTCAGCCCACGCAGCAGGGAATGGTGAAACCCCACCGAAAAGGAAGGCCTATGCTCTCTGATTGTCTAATCTCTGTTTTGCAGGCTCTAATCTGCCCATTTAGCGGCGGTGTGTAAAGAGCACCTGGACGGATGATTCACCGGCCAAGTGCTGCTCTTGTGGGGCCAGTTTGCTTCAGCTGCTGTAACGTTCGTTTACATCTGTGCTAGGGTAGCCTTGAATAAGTGCGAATGAACCTCCCGCAGACGCTAATTCATATCGGTTCCCCTCTGTGTTAAATATTTATGTTGTTAAAAGGCACGCCTAAGGAAAATACCGACAAGTCAGCCTGCAGCTCAACTCCATTACAACTCAATTTTATCTCGGCGCAATTTGCATCTCAAACGAACAGGATGAGAAAACACTCTGTACTCATAGAGCAACCCAGCCCAGCAGTTCAGCCATTAGCAGATCTATCGATTAGGTGACAACCAGACCTATCCATGAGAACTTACAACGACTTCTTCTCCCCGCCTGGACCCATAACGGCGTTGCAAAGGCAGGCGAGTTTTAAGCAAATCCCCACAGCAGCAAAGCATAAAACAAACCAGGCCAAACCAAAACGTCGTTAATTGCTCGTTGCATGAAATCAAAGCCAGCCTGTGCAGAGAGCTAAATGAAAAGCGTGTGTCCTCGGAGCTGATACGGAGCCCGGCCGGGTTCCCGGGGAGCTGAGATAGCTGCTGGTTCCAACCCCAAAAGGGGCTGATCAGGATGGGCTCATTGCTTTCAGTGAAGACATCCTGGCTTGCACCACATGAGCAATTTTTTAAAAAAAAATATGAAATCTAGTAATTTTTTTTTTTGGCTTGTTTCTTGCTATCCCCCAGAACAAAAGTCATCAAACAGTTCTGGCCTTTGGAAATAAAACCAAGCGGGGTGCAGGAGAGCTGCTTACCTCGCCGGAAAGCGCACGGTGTCCTCACAGGTCTCCCTTCTCTGCCGTACCCGGCACTTTTCTCCCCTCTTTGGCGAGAGAGTTTCGAGGCACTTTTGTTTGCTCTTCTGCTACCTTGTCAGCTCGGGAACAGCAGTGTTCAGTAATTCAATCCTCTACTTAACCGCAGAGACACTCCTACTCGGAGATCACACCCATTCCCAGGCTCACGGAGGGACAAAGAAGGAGCCGGTGTGAGAGTTTCAACCAACTCACTGTTTGCATCAAATATCCGCCAGCCCTGCATTCACCGAGCAGTAATGATTAAGTGCTGCTTTAATTAGAAACCTGTTTTGTCCAGATTTAAAAGGCATGGGGAGGGTGGTTCACCCCCCCACCCCCTTTTCTCTACCTCTGCTGGACAAAGCAAGGTGTGGTGCTGCTCAGTGCCACGTTAACGCTCAGGCCCGGGAGTCCCAGCCCCAGTCCCTGACTCTGACTCTGCCAAATTTTGGCACAGTCGGTCAGAGGGGAGAGGTGCTGGGGGAAGACCGCCCGCTCCCGTGCTCCCTGCTGGGCTGAGGGGGGTCTCCCTGTGAGCCCTGGCAGTGCGTGCAGCCCCAGGAGATGGGGAGCAGGGGTGAGGATTGCCATCAGGGTTATTGGCTGAAAGGGGGACGTAATGGAGCACTGGGGCATGCAACCAGGCTGCCCTCCCAGGAGAAAAGTAATGATAAACCAGAAAACCCCAGCGAAGCTGGCAGTGTTTGCCGTAGCCACCTTCTGCAGCAGAAAGCTGTGTCCGTGGGTATTCATTGCAATATCGTTAAGAAAAAAGTATATGCAAAGGGTGGCTGTAATATGCAGTTACCCCCTCTGGAAGCTGCCCCGATGCCACTGGCTGTGGGTGACCTGAAGTCAAACCATGTCCTCTCAGTCCCAACGGCTCCTGCCCGGCATCTGCGTGGTGCTGCTTGCCGCCGGCGGAGGGAACATCCCTCATTGGAGAGCAGTGGAGGTACCACTTCTTACCCTGTGGTCACCGGGCAGCTCTGCCTTTGGGGCACCCAGGGCTGTGTCCAGCTGGGTTTTGAGTATCTACAAGGATGGAGACTACACAAACTCTCTGGACTGCAAACCATCCGAGTCCTTCCCCTTCTACACACAAAGTTACTCTTGCCATTTCCTTAATTTTTTAGATTAACCCACACAAACTGAAAATAGATATGGATCAGCTTATCAGCTAAATCAGGTATCAGAATAGGTTTAAACCAACAGTTTCCACAGATCTAGTCCATTGACCCCAAGGGACATCTAATGGGAAGAGCACCCAAAATACTCGTGACATCAGCTGCAGACCAGTATACCACTAATCACAGATAGCTGCAAATCAGGGCACGGGTTGAACCTGCTCATTCAGCCTGGGTGTGCCCATATCTGAGAAGAACACTTCAGAGATCTTGGTTTCATGGTTGAAGGTGCAAAACTGACTCTTAGCAAGCAATTTATCCCTTAATGGCAGCAGGTTACAGCTCACAAAACCCATAACAGCCTTCACCTTTCATTTCATCATGCTGAGTGTCTTCCTCTCTTGCAGGGAACAGAGGAATCATGTTTTGTGTCTTTGTCCAGCCCACAGGAGATGGGGACCTGTGGCAGGACCTGCTTTTATCTTTGGTGTCAATCCCAAGCCCAGTGCTGGCCCAGCAGCGAGGGTTGTACACCGGCACTCTGGTGGGAAGTGTTAGAAGCTGGGGTGAGGACACCTGGAGACCTCAGAGGATCAACACCAAACTCCATCTTGATCTAGTTCCGCTTTTGCCACATGAACGCCAGCACCAAGGGTTTCATTAATCGCTGCTGTGTGTGTCTGGGTCCTGTTCAGTGCTGATATACACTGATGTAAACCAACCCGTTTCCATGGCTGCAGCTACATGTATTTGAGCTCTGGGATGAAGCACATCATTCCTATACCCACAACTTTGGCAAGGCTCATCAGGCTCGTGCACAGGTGATGTTTGAGCTGCCTCTCCCCTCTCCTTTCCATCACCACCATGAAAATAATCCTGGTGAGCTTTTAAGGAGTCCAAATCTGTAGAAATATATGTAAAGCAGTTTAGAACAGTCAATGCTGAGGAAAAATAAAATTTTTGTCATAAAACGTGGGCTCGTTTAGTGCTGAGCTGTAGACACTTTTGCTTACTGCTAATCCTGGTCATACCATGGGTTTATAGAGCAGAAAACATTATTTCCAAGCAGTTTAACTCCGTACTGGGGGAAAACAGAATAGCCTGACTTTCATAACTGAAACACGATCTGAGATGTTCCCGTTCCAGCTGTTTTTCCCATGTGCACGACCTGATGCACTCACGTTCTGGTCCTAAGCCTTGACTCAGAATTCCCAGAGCTCAAAGACCTTGTGGTTTAAAGTTTTTTTTCCTGTGTCCAGATGGCAGATGAGGCTGTTTTCAGTGTCCCAATGCAAGCCTAAGACACTGAAGACATTGTCACAGGTTGATGCTGGGGTAAATCAGAAGCTGCTAGGAGGAAGACTCTGCCAAAGTTTGGCAGTGTTGGGGCCCACATCTGCCTCTGCCTTGAGCGTCCCACATGCCTGTGGACAAGGTTAACATTGTGCATGGGGAAACAGGCTCTGCCAAGGATGTATTTGCAAAATGACACGTTGCAAAGGTATTTCCACCCTGCTTTTGGGTACAGAGCTCTGGGAGGAAGAGGGAAGGGCCAAACCCTGCAGATGAGATAACAGGGCAGGGGCCTCACACTTTGGAAAAGCAAGGGAAGGAGGCAAAAAAACCCCACAAGCTGCTCGAGACACCAGTGCAAAGACTCATCACTACTTATGTGAGGTTAAATGTCCTGACTGGTAGCAGCTAAAGCATTGCATGAATTTTTGAGAACGTTTCAGGAGAGTTTTCCTTGACCCACAACAAAAGCACGAGACGTTTTATTACACATTCCTCACGGAGCCTCGCTCAGGCTCTGCAAAAATCATTGCTCTGCCCTACAAAATCATCTTACAAAATTTATATAGTGCCTTTTATTGGCAGATCCCTTATGGATCTAATATAGGAGGATTGGGCCATAATTCACTGCGGTGCTCCTGGGTATGGGGATAAAGATGAAAAGCAATACGGATGCATGTACATCGACCATGATACATGCAAGGACCTCACCTGTGGGGGCTTAAAACTTGCTGAAGCAGAAGACTCCCCAGAAGTACATCTCAGCCAGCCACAGCATCTAACCCATGAGCAAGGTGGGGACGACCAGTAGCCATGAGGCACTGAGCACCAGCCTCAGGATTTGGCCCAGCTGCCTGCAAGGGGTGTTTTGATGTGGGAAAGTGAACACAGCTTTGCTCTTTGGCCCGGCGGGTTTGGACCGGTGGAGGTTGGGGCTTCATGGGGAAAGGGTTTCACAGGGCAGTGTTCTGCGAGCACCAGCTGACCAGGCAGCACAGAGCTGCCTCTGACAGGTAACAGTGTTCTGGTTAATGGCTAACAGCAGCAAATGGAAGTGTCTTGGGACAGGGGAAGGTGCCTCTGCACCGGGGTGAGGAGTCCTCCTGCACTGCGGTGCCACGGTGCACGGCGGTGCTGCACCGACCGAGACACAGTCATCTTGAGCTTCAGGGGGTCGTTACATCTTCGGCTCGTCGGCCCATGTCAGCTGATGACTCTCAGCACACAGGGATGCCTCCTGCAAACGAGCCCTTTCGGCACAGCTCTTGGGCATCGCTGCGCAGGGAGCTGTGTGAACGGCGGATCTTGGGGCAGCAGGGGCAGGACAGGGGACATCCTCTTCTCCCCATTCAGAAGAAAAGGAGTGGCCTTGGCAAGCCAAGGGCACAAGGTTAAATGCTGATTTTGGGCAGGAATAGCTTTGGCGAGAGCTCTAGAGATGCAGTTTGCCTCCCCAGAGCCAACAGCTTGCAGCAGGTTAAGACAGGAGCAGTTTCTCTGGCACAGCGGTTATGACACTGAGGCAGAAGAAACCTGTACCTGTTGCTCCAATTTATTGCTTGGCAATCTCAGTGCAACACCCATTTTAAGCCAGCTATGCTGGGCTGTGAACTGGGCATATGAGGCTCATGTTTCTTCAGGTTTATGAGAAAAAGTACTTCCCCCGCAAAAGAAAAGGAGAGAGGGGTCAGAGGTGATGACACCTTGTAGCATCACCGCAAGGTCTGCCAGGGCTTCTGGTCAGTCTTGAACCCCTCTTCAGTGCCCTAAAATATCTATGTCTATGTCCCATCCTTGAAGGTGGGAGGCACAACTCTAAGTCTCTGCTACCAGGGAGAAATACCTCAGTGAATATAACTGCACTGACTGTAACGATGGGACATAACAACACTGATGGAAATGGCCATACCATGCCAGACCTCCCCTGGTCTTTCTACACAAGCTCTGGCTGCTACTGAAGGCTTTGCAGAGTGATATACTGCAGCCTATTTTCTTTCCAAAAATTACACTGGGGGGAATGTGGAGGAGAATCCTCAGGGAGGGTGTTTCTTCCAGCCTCCCGCTGGTGAAGGACTCCTGCCTTGGAGCAAAAGAGATACCGTCACCTTTCGGAGGTTAATCTGCAACTGGCCTGGGTGAGCCGGGGAGGTGGCAATCTCCAGGGGCGGCTGGCCGTGCCTGTGTGCACTGCGGGCGTGGGTTCCTCTGCACCTCCCTCCGTTTGCTCTTGCGCTCCGCCGCAGGTGCACTGAGAAAACAGGATAGCCGAGGTGGGACCATGACGTGGCACAGGCAAACAGCAGCCCTGGCTGCCTTCCAGCCAGAGAAGGAACGCAGCAGAGGGGCCCCAGTTTGGATCCGGATGTATTCAGATCGTTGTTTTATCTGGGGAGACTTCCAGAAGGACCCGAGTCCCCCAAACCCATCACCCCAAGGTCGCCGTCAAACCCTACTCCTATTGCTGATGCCAGAGTTCAGCCACCTGATGTTCTTTGGGTTATTGGCTGAGTATCTGCTAGGAAGAATGAAGTTTGTGCTAGAAAAGCTTAGATTTGCTACTACTTCAGAAA